ACCACATGTGTAGTTTAAATTTTTATCTTAGGGAGCCAAAGAGATAGGGCAGTAGTTAAGAGCAGTGCCTGCTTATCCAGAGAATATGCCAGCTACATGGCAGCTCACAACTGTCTGTAACTCCAGTTCCAGGGGATCCAATGCCTTCTTCCAACCTCTGTGGACACAAGGCACGCATATAATGCACACACATACATGGAAATAAAACATCCATAAACATAATAACAATAATAATGATTTTTTAAAACTTATACTAGAGAGAACTAGAGAGGCGACTCAGCAGTTAAGAACATTGGCTGCTCTTCTAGAGGATAAGGGTTAGATTCCCTGCACCGACAAGATGGCTCACAACCATCTGTAATATCCTTCTTCGGCCCTCTGCAAGCACCAGGCCTACAAATGGTACACAGACATAGATTCAGCAGAGGCATCCATACACATGAAATAAAATAAAAGGAAAAATGTACACCAGAGACTTGAGGGTGTGACTTGGTAATAAAGTGTTTGCCTAGCATGTGGTGGTGGCCCACACCTTTCATCCCAGCACTTGAGAGGTAGAGGCAGGCAGCTCTCTCAGTTTGAGGCCAGCCTCATTTACAGAGTGAGTTCCAAGACAGCCAAGACTACACAGAGAAACCCAGTCTCAAATAACCAAAAACAAACAAGCAAACAAACAAAAAGATCCTGTATTAACCAAAGCATCACACAAAGGAAATAAAAACCCTAAGTAAATAAAGCAAGTGAAATTAGTTTTAATAGTCTTTAATTCAACCCTTTAGATAAAAATAGTCCAATTCAATCCTTTAGATTAAAAAATTAGCCTACAGTTTATATTTATAAATAAGGGGGTTAATATTTATTTTTGTACTTTGAAATCTAATATGTGCGTTAGCTAGATATCACATCTCAGTCTGAAGTAGCAACATTCCAAGGGCTAAAGAGCTACAGTGAGTTAGTGGCTTCCATATTGAATCTGCATAGATCTGAGCTCAGCCTCTCTGAGTTTGAGGCCAGCCTGATCTATGAGCAGGTTCCAGGACAGCCAGGACTGCACAGAGAAACCGTGTCTTGAGAAAAAAAGAAAAAAGAAAAGAAAAGAAACAAAGCACCTTGCTTCTCTGAGCCTAGTGTTTCCTCCAGCATCTCTGAATTAATGACTAGATGTCCCCAAACTGATCCAGACTAACGTCAGTTCATTCTCTCAGCCACTGAGTCATGACACTGGGTCTCCATTAGCCATGTCTCAAGTTCAATGTCCATCAGCTTCCCATGTCTGCCCTCTGCTTTCCTACCTTGCCCAGTTCCTTGGCTCTTAGGAGACTGGCTCCCCATCAGCTTTCGAGAAGTGGAACCACCAAAAATAAACTGTTCCATGCTATCACAACAGAGTGTGAGACAAGACCCGGAGCCACCTCTCCCCCTTGCCTCCCAACACAGTGGCTGGTCCTTCCACCAAGCTCAGGACCCTGTGTCCCTCCTCCTGGAGATGGCGCCCCCATTCCTTTTCCCACTGAGTCCCACATCGGTTCTTAGACACGTTCAGTCGTTCAGTCGGTCCTATATTGTGACACTTAGGTTTCCCTCTGGCTCGCCCTCTGCTTTCCCATCTCTCCTCCAGAGCCAACTCTGCCGTCTGTACTTCTTTACCTCTTGTTGGCACGCACTTCTCTGACATATATCTTCCATCCCTCCACTGAGCCTTCTTCCCTAATGTTCCTTCCGACTTCCTGTTGAGGACACTGGAGAGCTGTGGAAAGGATACATCCCAGGTCTCATTGGTTCCTGGCTATGATGTAATTGCACATGCTTTCCCGTCTTGGCTTCTGTGACGTTTGTTTTCCTTCTTCTCTGTGGCCATTCTATCCTCCTGCTTTCACTGTGTGCCTCTGAGCACCCTTCTTTCACGGATACTGTGCCCTAGACTTCGCTTTCAGCCTCTTTTCCCCTACCCTACCGTCTCTCCTTTGAGAAATTTCTACCACTTTAATAGCTTCAAACACCATTCCTATATGACAGCTCCATGGAGCAGAGCGTGGTGATCATTGGGGCTATAGAAATGCCAGCATGTAGGCCACAACGGACTCCCTCTGCTTTAAACCTCACCGGTGAGCAGTCAACAGGAATCCTGGTAATGAAGAAGGAAATTGGGGGATGTCTCTGTGATTAAGAGTACTGGGATGCCTGATATTCTTGGTTGTCAACTTGCCTGCATCTGGAATTCCCTACACATCTCTCACAGGTATACCGGTGAACGAGTTTTCGGTACCTGCATTGGCTATTCCAGATGTAGTAAGTTGACAACCAAGAATATCCATCACAAGCACTTACTGGAAAAGCAAGAACACCTGAACTCTAACCCCTGGCACCTACATGAAAACCAAGCATGGCCACGTACGTATGCCTATAACCCTAATGTTGGTCTTGGGAGCAAACTTGCCAGTCAATCTAGCCCCCAAACAAAACCAACCATCAAAGCTTCAGATTCAGTGAAAGATCCCACTAAAACAAACAAACAACAAAAATGCTAGTGGGGGATGGAAAGATTGCTCAGTAGTTAAGAGCACTGGCTACTCTTTCAGAGGACCCATGTTCCATTTCCAGCCCTGATAAGACATCGATCTGTAACTCCAGTTCAAGATGCCTGCCCTACCCAGCCACGCAAGCAGCACATAGACCTATATGCAGACAAAACACCCATAACACATAAAATAAAATAAAATAAAATAAAATAAAATGGAGGGCAATAGAGGAAGACTCCTGAAGCCCCTAGCCTGTCCTATGCATGCATATGTGAGAAGAGAGAGAGAGAGAGAGAGAGAGAGAGAGAGAGAGAGAGGTTATCCTTATCTTTTTGGTTTGGTTTTTGGCTTTCGGTTTTGGAGACAGGGTTTCTTTGTTGCTTTGGAGCCTGTCCTGGAACTTGCTCTGTAGACCAGGCTGGCCTTGAACTCAGAGAGATCCGCCTGTCTCTGCCTCCTGAGTGCTAGGTTTAAAGTTATGCGCCACCACAGTCTGGCCCTCATCTTTTTAAAACCAGCTGTGTGTGTGTGTGTGTGTTAAGGCTAGTGCCACAGCACACACATAGAAATCAAAGGGCAGCTTCCAGAATTCCGTTCTCTCCTTCCACCATGTGGGTCCCAGGGATCTAACTTGGCTCCATCAGGCTTGGTGGCAAGAGATTTTAACCACTGAGTCATCCTCATAGCCCAATTATCCTCCTGTTCGTATTGACATTCAAACCTTGCCCCAGAAAATGATCCTCTTTGATGTATTCCAAAATCCTAGCAGCCTGCTCCATGAATTACCTGCAGCATCAGTTCCTCTCCCAGGAGCCCTCAGGCCCACCTGCGAGCACTGCTGGGGACGTCTCACAAAGTAGCCATTTTAAAGCACAGTGGTTTAATTGACGGCACAATGCGGCACTCTGAGGTTTGGTTTTGTTTGAAACTATGGTCCAAGCTGGCCTTGAACTTGTGATCCTCCCAGCTCTGCTTCCTGGGTATTGGGATCATAGGCAAGTGCCACCTGGCCTGGTTGGTTGTGACACAAAACCAAAAGGGCACAATTTCAACAATGAAGGAAAATGACTGGAACACTTAAGTGGGAAGAGTCCTTTTAGGGGCCATGCTTAGACAATTGAGCAGGCATGAATGACTCTCCGCCTCAGGCACAAAGATCAGCTCAGAAGCCTGCCACCTGAGTTCAACCCCCAGGACCTAGGGAAAGATGCAGATGTGGTGGTAAACATCTGGAATCCCAGCGCTCCTGGGGTGAGTTGAGGAGACAGGAGAATTGGCCTCTCACGGACCAGCCATCCTGGGACACAACATAGTTTACAACACAGAAACAAACAAACAAACAAAAAAACCCGGCCTCACAAGCAAGATGGACAAAGAGAACCGACGAGAAGTCCTCTTGCCTATACATCATACATACCCGTGACTACCATTTTCCCAAGCCTGATTTCTAGATCTTCACCTCGTCAATGACCAAGGGGACGCTCATCCACCTTCCCCCATGTCTTCCAGCCACTGACCTGACAGTGGATGTTCTAAAGCCTTTACCAAAGAGCAGCCGACAAGCCCTCCGGTTCTCTTGACACCACGAGGCAAGCGAACTTCAGCTCCACATGGGAACACAGCTGAGCGTGGGAATCCCGGCTGAGCGTGGGAATGCTGGCCTCCAGCTAAACAGCCTGGCGGTCCGGCTTGAACAGTGCTGTGGCCGCAGCAAGCCGTAGTGATAGAACATAAGCTTGTGGTGTTTTGCTTTCGTCCTGCCTCTCCAAGGGTGAGGATGCTCTCCCAAGGGTGCAAGCCAAAAAGAAGGACGGGGCAGAAGAAAACGGACTTCACCCATCACTGAAATACTTTGTACCTGAAGCGCAGCCACCTTGAGAGAAAAACATGGTGGCGGCGCTTCACGGTCACCTGACTAAGAGCCTTGGGTTTGGTGCTGACTCAGAGGGAAATAGGCTGTCACTAAGAGGTCCCCACACAGTACCCAAGCTCTCACAGCCAAGTCTGGGCTTGGACCCAGCGAACATATGAGAAAAGATGACCACCAGAGCCACCCAAGGGGCGTGAGGCCTGCTGTTGCCGGGTCCACCCTCAGGGATCACAATGACCACATGAGATCATGGAATGTTGAAGTTAAAAGGAAAGTAGCTCTTACATCACAAAGTCCTAAGTAGGTGGCCATCCTTTTTGCCTGGGAGCTGGAGGAATAGAGCTCTACTATTGTCCCCAATGAGCCCCAGGCCTAGCTACCTCCCCCAGACAGAGTCGGAGGCAAATCCATGCAGGCCGGATTCCCACCAAAGCCAGCTCTCCTCCAAGCTTGCTAGGATGAAAAACTAGCTACAGGTTCCCTTGGGATTCGCCCTGGAGAGGGCAGTGCACAGAGTTTGAGACCGAGCTGAATGGACAGGTGTGGACCTTAGGGAAGCAGCCACCAGGGGACAAGAAGCTGTCACCAGCCCCCAAGAGAGTCCTGGCAGCATGGACTATTTTGATGATGAGCCTCTTGAGTCTGAGACCAAAGGTGAAAAGGCCCCCCCATCTCTCTCCCCATCTCTACCAGTGATCAGGTAGACTCCCCCAAAGCCCTCCTTCTCCCTGAGTCTCTGTAATGGAGATGGTATGTTACGTTAGCAACAGGGTTTAGAAACCACTCGAATACAGTGAGTTGTGGTGCTGGACTTGGCTCTTAAGAGCTCCGGCCAATGTCAGTTTTTGTTTTATGGACTGGTTGACATCACACTGATAGTTGGAGCCAGCCATATTGGGAATGTTCACACCACATGAATTGACAATGGTTGTTAATTTGCTTGCATCCCCCTGGTTGAGTGGAGTTCTAAAACTTTTTGAGGGGCTGGAGAGATGGATTAGTACTTGGAACTTTTTGCCTTTCTAGAGAACTTTAGTTCCATTCCCAGGAACTCAATAACCTGTAAGTCAACTCCAGGGTACTCAGCGTCCTCTTCTGGCCCCCACAAGCAACTGCAAGCGCACATTGATGCACTCCTCCCAGCACACGTTTCTTTCTCTCTTCCTTTTCTTTCCTTTTCTTCCCTTCCTTCCTTCTTTCCTTCCTTTTTTTCATTGTCTGAATTATAAAGAAGCCAAGACTCAGAAACATTCCCTTTCTCTCAGAGCACAGGGCAGCAATCTGGGCAGCTCGGCTGCTGAGTGTTCTCTAACCACCGGGTCACTGCTACTCAAATTACACATCGCGTGGAAACTTGGCACAGAGGCTTGAGGATAAATATTGGGACTTGGCTCTGTTGGGGGGGAAAAAAAACGAAGACACACACCTACTTGGGATCATTAAGAAGTCCGCCATCCTAGAATCTGAATTGTGAAGGGGGGAGAGGAGGGGCACACAGTGCTCAACCCACTCAGAGTAGATGGATGGGTAGCCATGTATGGAATTCTCAAAGAATAAAAATAAATAAAACCAACAGGTAAGGGAGAGAGAGAGCAGGTTGACCCTGTCTGCCAGGTCTTCAGGAAGCACACGTGTGATTTCTTGAACCCCTGAGGTCTGTGGAGGCCAGAGAATTCATCTCTGAGTCCTGGGTGTGGCTTTCAGGAGTCCAGCACTCAGAAGCCCAGTGAACAAGCCACATCCAGCAAGTGCAGGGACCAGTGCGAAGGAGGCACGGCTGCTCTCAGCAGAGCCTCGTCCAGTGAAGACAATGTGCTTAGCTCGTAGCAATGAACTTCCGCTCCGGAGACATCATCAAGCCTCTCCTTCATAGGCCCAGAAACAGTGCTGGACATGAGGGAAGGGAAGCAAGACCAGCTTCCTGGAAATCTGACTGTCTCCTCTGCTCCCTGAAGCCGACCCCCGCCTTTTTCCTTTCCCTCCGATCCCAGTCCCCACCTGTCCTGCCCTTTACCTACCTCCCAGCGGCACAGTGTGTGACCATGAAGTAGCCCAGGCTTTGGGACACATCCTTTTACCATAACGAGTAACTGACTCAACAGCAGACTCCAAAATCCTTCCATGCAAATCATGAGGGAGGAGTGTGAGCAGGGACCCCACCAAAAGCAGGCAAACCAGCGAAGGGGACTGCCCATTGACAGGGGACACGGGACTCCATCAATTCAGCCATATGGACGTCTTTGTTTTGCTTTGTTTTGTTTTTATTTTTTGAGTCAGGGTTTCTCTGTAGCTTTGGAACCTTCCTGGAACTCATTCTGTAGACCAGGCTGGCCTTGAACTCACAGAGATCCTCCTGTCTCCTCCTCCTGAATGCTGAGATTAAAGGCATGCACCACCACCGTCAGGCTCCATACGGAGATCTTATAGAAGGGGGTTTCCTCATCAGGGCTGCTATGTGAGCTATGGGATAAAGGCTGTAGGCAGGACCTGGGAGGCAGAGGAGGGAGGCAGAGACTAAGGGGAGTCAGTGGTAGGTGTCACCCAATGGGCCGCAGGTTTACTTCCCGGAATGGGATGGGATTTTCCCCCAGATGAGACGGAAACCACGCCATCGCTGCAGAACAGCGATGACATCCTCTACTGCGAAGCCGAAGCCCCTCCCAGTGTTGAGAAGGAGAAACCTACCAGGGAGGACTCAGAAACCGACTTGGAAATTGAAGGTGAGGTAACATCTGATGGATGAAAGGTGGGTGGCCAACCAGAAACTGGAGAGATCTGGTTCCGCCAGAATGTTCCTCTCTGTCCTACTGGAAGGCTATCTATGCTCCATTCTAGACTACCTGCTCCTCCTGGTTGGCTGGGGACCACACAGGCCCTTCTGAGAAGGTTGTTGTTATAATCTAAAGCAACATGCAGAAGTTTCTGGTCTTTAAATCTCTCCCACGTGGCTGTGGTGTGTGTGTGTGTGTGTGTGTGTGTGTGTGTGTGTGTGTACAAGTGCAATTGCTTTCACAGAGGCCAGAGGCATCAGATAACCCCCTGGAGTTGAAGTTACCGACAGTTGCAGGTCCTTTGACATGGGTTCTGGCAACTGAATTCAGGTCTTCTGGAAGAGCAGTGTGTGCTTTTAACCTCTGAGCTACCTCTCCAGCCCCACCTAACTCTACCTCACCCCACCTCATGTGACTCTTAAGTAATTTTTTCATAGTCCAAGAAGGTGGACTTTATTACATCTTTTCTAAAAAGGAAACCGTGGCTTCAAGATTGTGAGAGTCACCCAAAGCCACTAAGAGCTGGCCAGGGTTCCACAAGCTAATGCCACGTTTGACCTGTCTTTGTTAGTCAGTGTTCCATGCAGTGCCCTAGAGCGTCTCTGCTGCCCTAACCACGTGACTTTCCAGTCACCTGAGAGCTCTCGTTTCTCCTGCTTCAGAGTCCCAAGCTTTGTCACAACAAATCAAGCATGCCTGGTTACCCCAGCTGATGGAGCCGAAACAGAGACTCTGTTCTCGCAAACAGCAGCGCCAACATTCCTTTCTTCCCATTATCCCCAAGGAGAGGGGTACCAAGAAAGATTATCTGTGAGCATCTGTGAAGCAAGGGGAGAATGATGCTGGTCCCACTGGACGGAAGCAGCCTTCAGCTTCCTAGCTTGGTCCAGTCTGAGACACCCTTCCTCTCTAGTGGCTTTTGTTTTTTTTTTTTTTTGAGGCAAGGTTTCATGGAGTCCAGACAGACCTTGAATTCACTACATTGCCAAGGATGACTTTGACCTCTTGACCCCCGCCTCCAAGTGCTGAGATTACATCTATGCATCATTATCCCCACCCGCTCGTGTGTTCTTGAACATGGGTGGCACTCAGTGATTCTCCCATCAATAGGGGATGGCAAAGTGACCTTTACCCCTAGGGTCAGCTTATAAGACCATCCTACCAGTCAGAATCAAAAATTCCCTCTTCTACTCAGACCCCTCCCCACTGCTTCCAGTCATCCTGTGGTTCTTTAAGGCTATTGTTAATTCTGCTTTTTTTTCTCTGTGTAGCCTTGGCTGTCCTGGAACTCACTCTGTAGACCAGGCTGGTCTCGAACTCACAGAGATCCACCTGCCTCTGCCTCCCAAGTGCTGGGATTAAAGGCGTGCGCCGCCACAGCCCAATTGTTAATTCTGCCTCCAGCACCTCATTTTACTTAGCTGGAGGACGTGGCAAAGAGCAGCGCTGGGAAAGTCCACAGGGATAGGAAAGCCCATGAAGGTACAAGCTTGCTTGGTTTTGGCTGATTTGGGCTAATTTGTTGTCTCGAGGCTGTTACCAGAGTTGTTCAGGTCAGGGCCCTGTGTTGATTGCCTCAGCCCTGACAGCCTTAACTGGGTCCAGCCACCCACCCGCAATAGGTCAGTTAAAGACACAGCTAAGTGAAAAGCAAAAAAAAAGGAGACTTACTCCAAGAAACCTCATTATGAAGAGGAAGAAATAAAGAAACCCAGCGGCCTACCCCTGCCAAGTCCATCTTCAGGATCCTGGCATAAGGTTTGGGTTTAAATAGAGGGCAAGAGGTGTGCATAGCTGGGCAGTCCAAGGCCAGTGTGGTCCAGGTCACCATCAATGTCTCTGCTCCTCTGCCCTCCAAGGTGATCTCACTGCCTGTCAGATCTGTGTGAACTCTCTTTCCAGGAGACAAGCTCCTACTCCAGCTAGCACCAGGCTTCAACCTTTTCCCGCTCCCTGCATGAGACACCTGGGAAATCCTCATTTCTTAAATAATCTGATGGGATACAAGTGTGTCTTTAAAAAAAAAAAAAAAAAAAAAAAAAAGTCGGGCTTTTTGTTTAAGCATGCGCTTCTCCAAATCTCTGGCAAAGCTTGATTCACGGCTCACAGTTTTTTGTGGTGCTGGGGAATCAAGCCGAGGACTCACACAGCTGTGACCTGATGGCTTCACTCACTGTCAATCAGCACCACCAGCCACAGCTTATGTTTTAAGATGACTAACTGGGGCTGGAGAGATGGCTCAGTGGTGAAGAGAACTGGCTGCTCTTCCGGAGGTCCTAGGTTCAGTTCCTAGCACCCGCATGGTGGCTCACAACCATCTCTGACTGTGATACAAGGGGATCTAACATGCTCTTCTGGACAACAGCACACACATGGTAGACAGACACACATGCAGGCCACACATCTATATGCAAAAAATTAAATAATAGCAGTAATTTAAAAAAAAAGTGCTGGTGAAACTAAGATTGAATTCAAGATGCCTTCAACCATCAAAAGTCAACTCTGGGCTACTGCTTGGCCCTGCAGTGTCTGAAGGCAGACACTGGGACTTTAAATACCACTGATGACCAGTCTTTGAATGTGGCCAGCCTGAGAAAATGACAAAGGTATACACTGTTCCTGTTTCCTAGCAAGGCCTGGGACATACAACCACTGGCCTTTCCTCTTAACCAAAGGGATATGTCCACCTGGGGGCTATCTGAAGTTAGTGTCCCCTCTCTTCCCAAATTCCTGGCTCTGGGCTTGAAGTTTACATCTAGTGCAGGATTTCTCAAACTTTCCACTCACGATGCCTTTGTGTCAGAGCAGTTCCTATGCCACCCTGGGAATGCACGTATATAAAATAGGCATACGGATCTAACATTTACTGATAATAAATTTATTTTAGAACAGCTCCTTTTGGGGGTATATATAATTTCACATTTGTGTTAAAGATAAAAAGCAACGGGCTGGAGAGATGGCTCAGAGGTTAAGAGCATTGCCTGCTCTTCCAAAGGTCCTGAGTTCAATTCCCAGCAACCACATGGTGGCTTACAATCATCTGTAATGGGGTCTGGTGCCCTCTTCTGGCCTGCAGGCATACACACAGACAGAATATTGTATACATAATAAATAAATAAATATTTAAAAAAAAGATAAAAAGCAAACTCAAATAGTAGTCAGATAGATGTGCTTGTTTGTTTTTATATAAAGAATCCAATCTTGCCTTAAATCTCAGCACCCAGGAGGCACAGGCAAGAGGATCTCGGTGAGTTCAAGACCAGCCTAGTCTATGTGGTGAATTTCAGGCCATCCAGACCCTGTCTCAAAACAACAAAAAGACCTAAATCTTGGTTGGATGGTTGATATTGTAGGACCTACAACATCCCCAATAGTCTTGAAAGGAGACCAACATTTTAATTTATAACCATCAAGGCTGAGGATGCTGCTCACATAAAAATGTATGACAAAATGGTAGCTGGAGAGCTGGAGAGGCAGTTGGTAGGATGCTTGCTGCATCCTGAAGACCTGGGTTCAGTCTCCGGAACCCACACACAACAGATGACCTGCGGCCCTGCTCCTCTGCTGCTAGCACTGGGGCAGCAGAGACAGACAGATCCCTCGCCCAGGCAGCTTAGCCTATTCAGAAAGTCCTAGGACAGGAGAAACCATCTCAAAAGCAAGGTGAAGGTGCCTGAAGAACGTCCCTTGAGGTTGACTTCTGGCAATCGTGTGTGTGTGTGCGCGCGCGCGCGCACACACACACACACACACACACACACATATGTAAATAAGCATTTCAGTCATTGACGGAAGTTGTTTTCTAATCCCAAGCCAAAACTGATTCAATAACTCTTTTGTGAAACTTGAGCCAATGTTGTTTTTCCACCCGTCACAGAGGCTGTGCTTTAATCTGCTGCTGTTTCAGCTGGTAATTGTGGCTCTGCAGTTACCAGCCTACTTCTCTGGCAGCCGCTGAGACCAAGGCCTGGTGGGAATTCCTTTCCCACAGGCACTGGCTCTGTCACTGCCACCTAATACAGCTTTTAATTAAATCTCTATTGTTCTATTTATCAATAAGACTCGGGAGTCAGAGGCTGTGGTGACAACCAGTCAGCTCAGAGAGCTTGAAGAGCAACTAGCTGACCTCTCTTTGCTGGCATCTCTGAGAGAGTGTCCTTCTGCTCTCTCCCACCCCCCAGAAAAAAAAAAAAAAAAACATGCTACACTAAGTCCCTCCCTACTACTTCCTGTGTGTCCTCTATCATCCTTCCAGACACCTTCTGATTCTCTATGACTATTCTGCCAACTAGTTGTTAGCATGGCCTTCTGACCCAAGGTTGATTTTATTTAATTGATACAAACACAAACTCAGGGTTCGCAGTGTGATTGAATATCCCACAGCAAGTCAAACGGGAATTTTAAAAATCAAAATTGCATCCAGGTGTGTCATCACACCCTTTAACCACAGTACCTATGAGGCCAAGTCAGGTGGCTCTCTGGGCGTTCAAATTTCAGGACAGACGGAGCAGTGCATAAAAAGACCCTGTCTCAAAATTAAATTAAACAATTCAAATATTTTTGTATTGGACTACAACACAATTGTATTATAATCCAATCCAATCCAAAAATGTACTGATTTGATATATACATGCTGAGGTTGAGAAATATTAAAAGTCTCTGGTTCTCATAGTTAAACCACGTGAGTTGTTTGCTTGTTTGTTTCGGTTTTGGTTTGGTTTGGTTTCGATTTTTGGTCTTTCAAGACAGGGTTTCTTCATGCCCTGGCTGTTCTGGAACTCGCTCTATAGCTCCAGAACTCAGAGACCTGCCTGCCTCTGTCACCCCCGTGCTGGGATTAAAGGCGTGCATCACCACTACCTGGATAAAACACGGTTTTACAAGAGGGGGAGTCTTTGGATGTTCAGTAAAAATCACTGCGGTTCCTAATATGCAAGAACCAGGAGTTGCAGCCCAGGTGCTTTGGCAGCTGTGGTGTTCTGCTGTGTCAGAGCGTGTCAGTGCTGAGAGTACATGTTGTGTTCAGAATGGAGCCTGTGCAAAAGATCCAAGATGCCACACGGGCCAGCACAGCCAGAAACACGTTGGATTCATCACATGTGTGATTGTAAGCTAACTTGTGGTCATCACACCTTGAGAAACCTTTTACTGTGGCCAGTTTCTTTCGAATGTGCCCCCCCCCCCCAATTTGGTTACACTCTCCTGTATGCCCAGCAGCGCCCACAGCTGGAGGAGTTGGGTTCTGGAGCACATACCCACAAAGGCAGATCTCAGGAAAGTCCAGGCAGAAGAGCACCTCCCCTGGGGAGGTCGGGGAGCTAAGGCAGCCTGGAAGAGAAGGCTTATTTCATTCTGCCTTTCTCTACAGACACAGAGAAATTCTTCACCATCGGACAGAAGGAACTGTACCTGGAGGCCTGCAGACTGGTGGGCGTAGTGCCTGCCTCCTACTTCATCCAGAACATGGAGGAGCCCTGCGTGAACCTCAACCATCATGGGCTGGGCCCCAAGGGTACCAAGGCCATTGCTATAACTCTGGTGGTGAGCATGCTGGACAAAGGAACATATCAAACCTGATGGAAGAGGATTATCAGGGTGACTGGTTTGACATTCAGAGGACACCCTCTTTGGTGTCTGAAGAGCAACTTACCCTGGTTCTTTCTCATCATTGGTCATTGTTTTTCCTGTTAGTTCATGGAAGAGGTTGTGCTTTGAAGACTGTGGCCTTTCCTAGTTGGGAAGCAAGACATCAGTCTGAATGGGCTAGGTCCAGGCCCAAGAGTTACTACAATTATCAAATGTAGGCCCGGGTCTCCATTCCAAAGCCGACCTTGGCTGTATGTGGAGCCACTCCTGAGCCACTCCATTCAATGTCTGCCTTTCACATTATCATTTTTAGAAATTATATTTCCAAGTGAATCACATTTTTCCACATGAAAGACATTACCTCTTGGCTTACCATGACCAAACAAGGACTTGACCTTCAGTGCATCACAGATTTATATAATTGATTACATATAAAACTGGCTACATCACAAGAAATTTGACAACTGTATGTCAGTGCCTCCCTGGCTGCTCACTTAGGAGGGTGAAGAGAAAGTTTGATTTCAAAGGAATTCAGGAAAGTAAACAGGCAGGTGTTCTTAGGAGGGAACATTTAAAAATAAGCAATAATAGTAAGTTGGCTCAGTTGATAAAGTGTCTGTCACATGGGCATGCAGATCTCAGTTCAAGTACCCAGCACTCATGTAAAAGCTAGGCTTGGTGGTAACCAGGGACAGAGACATGAGGTTCCCTGGATTCTGTGAGAGACTCTCTGAAGAATAAGATGCAGAGGGCTGGGTGGTGGTAGCACACACCTTTAGTCCCAGCACTTGGGAGGCAGAAGGCCGTGGATCTCTGTGAGTTCAAGGCCACCCTGGTCTATAAACTAAGTTTTAACCTAGTCAGGGATATATAGTGAGGCTGTGTCTCATTAAAAAAAAAAAAAAAAGTGGAAGCAGTAGAGAACATCTTGACATTGACCTCTAACTTCCTCATGCTGTGCACACAACATGTCCATTCACACAAATACACACAGACTTTTTAAATTAGTAATAAAACTGGATATGACATCATCACACCAGATATGTTGGCACATATCAGTAATCCAAGCACTTTGGTGGCTGAGGCAGTAGGATCAGGACTAGGAGTTAAAACTCAATTTGGCCTCATAGCGAGTTCCAAGCAAGCATGGGACTGTATGAGACTCCTGCCTCAAAATAAAAATCAGTGGTGGCGCACGCCTTTAATCCCAGCACTTGGGAGGCAGAGGCAGGCGGATCTCTGTGAGTTTGAGGTTAGTCTGGTCTACAAGAGCTAATTCCAGGACAGGTTCCAAAGCTACACAGAGACACAGAGAAACCCTGTCTCCAAAAAACAAAAACAAACAAACAAAAAACAAGAGGAAGGCTAGAAGAGGCAAGCACAGGAAGTCAGTTACCACCTTCCGCTGAGCCCCACTTTCTTTTTCTGAGATTTATTTTTCCTGTTAATTATATGGTTATGGAGGGGTGGGGAGTGTGTGAGCACACATGCCAGCAGAGAAGCCCGATGCCCTTGAAGCTGCAACTGCAGGCAGCTGCGAGCCGCCCAGAGTAGGTACTGAGAATCAAACTCAGGTCCTCTGCAAAAGAAGTATGCGTGCCTAACCACCAAGCCAGCTCTCTATCCCCTGGCCCCATGTTTTAAAATTCTCACTAACGTGTGTGTGTGTGTAAGAGAGAGAGAGAGAGAGAGAGAGAGAGAGAGAGAGAGAGAGAGAGAGAGAGAGAGGGGAGAGAGATTGATGTCAGGTGACTTCTCCTATTGCTCTCCAACATATTCAGGATCTCTCACTGAACACGGAACTCACTGATTCAGCTTGACTGGCTGACCTGCAAGCCTCAAGGCCCTCTAGTCTCCACCTTCCCAGGGCTGGGATTACAGGCATGCACCATTACATATATTGGTGCTAAGGATCTGAACTCAGGTCCTCCTCATGCTTGCCTGCCAAGCAAGCACATTACCGACAGAGCCATCTCTTATAGACACCATGGTCTCACTAAGTCTTAAACATCTCCACACTGTGGCCCAGACCTCCAACACAGCACCCTCTCACATGCCTGGGATGTTCTAGAGAGAAATGAAGCTCTGGACCAGAGAGGACAGAGAGCTACCCTAGTCACTAACCACTTCTTTGTCTTCCTTCCTCTCCCACTGTGGCGGCCAAAGTCCAACACAACGATCCTCAAACTGGAACTGGAAGACAACGCCATCATGGAAGAGGGCGTCCTGAGTCTGATGGAGATGCTTCATGAGAATTACTACCTCCAGGAGCTGGTAGGATGCCCTCCTCCTCCTCCAGCTCCTCCTGGAATACCCGGGGACTCAGAACCACTCAAGCCCGGTCAGAACCTCCCACCCCAGGCCTAGGTCAGCTTTGGGCTATCTCTAGGCAGTCTGTGGGCTCCTCCTCAGGTATCAAAGGCGGCTGTGGGAAAACCTGAAGAGCCATCTCTGGCTGTGCGTTTAAAAGTCCCCAGATGGAATGGTTTACCCATCCTAACTAACACGAACAAGCTTTCTTCTTTGCAAAGCAGGGACCTGATGAGGTGGCTCATTTTCAAATCCTCCAAATGAATCTGTCTTAAGTGTTAAAGCAAGCAATCTGTATGTTCATGTGAAGTACCAAGGCTAAATTGAGGTAGTGGGGTGTTGTTGAAGACAAGGAGCGAGACCCTGGGAGAGACGCTAAAGAAGTCAGACTAGGATCAAGCTTCCTTGCCTTCCACCTCTCCGTCCTTCACATTACCCTGATCCTAAACATTTTACCCCAGCTTATTCTCTCAGTCACCCCTGACCAGTCCCGCCCCCCCCCCCACCTTGTTTCCGAGGGCCTTCTTGTGCGATCCTCTCCCGCGTGTGTGTGCTCTTACCTCTCAGAACATGTCTGACAATGACCTTGGTTTGGAGGGAGCCAGGATCATCTCAGACTTCCTCCAGGAAAACAATTCTTCACTCTGGAAACTGAAACTTTCAGGTGAGCCCATAGCAGGGGAGGAAAGGACACTGGCGACAGAGGGAGAGAAGAACAGAGGACCTTGGGTCCCTGTTTTAGTTTTGGTTTGATGCAGAATACACGACGCTGCATCGTCCCCTCGCTGGACCAGGCAGCCTCGCCCCTCGAAGGCCACACCAAGCCCCTGCTTTCCTGAACAGGCTCTCTTTGCAGCGCCCTTCCTTGTCTTGGACAACTCCACCTCCTGGGGTCTGCCTGGCTCATTTGCCTGACTCTCTCGTGCCATGCACGCCTTCAGGCTCATGTCGTCTTTTCAAGAGACTTCTCTGATGCCTATCACGGCAGCAATGCTCTATCGCCATTGCTCCGTCCCGTTTCTCCTGTTGTCTTAATGTTCATTAACCACTTGATTATTGCAGGTCCACTTTGAAATGAGTGATGCTCTATCTGTTATTAGGGGAACAGGGCCACTTGAAAGTTCTAGTGTCCAGACATGCCCTCACTTGGGTTTGCAGATTTATGCTATCTGAGGGACTCTGAAACTTCTATGCCATGAAGTGAATATGAAGAGCGGTCCTATGCTGAAAAGTAGGGACCTCTTTGGAGGACACTGTTTACCAAGTTGGTTTGGGGTTCCCATAGATAAGCCCCAATCCACGTGATCTAAAACTGCAAAACTAACAAGGAACACTCGCAGTTTCAGGCAGTAGAATTCTCAGACATGCACAAGCCGTGTGGAAAAATAAATCTCAAAAAAAGCAAGTGGGGCTCAGTGGAAGGTGGTGACTGACTTCCTGTGCTTGCCTCTTCCCCTGGAACTAGAGTTACAGATGGCTGTGAGCTGCCATGTGGCGAAATGAACCAGGGCCCTCTGGGAGAACAGTCAGTGCTCTTAACCATTGAGCCATCTCTCCAGTACTAATGCTAGGCATCCCTAATACACTAAGGATGTTCATATCTGATGTCAGAGAGGAGGAAGGAAATGGTCAACAGTCTCCCCCATTCATTGTGTCTACCTGTTTGCTTTAAGAGCTTCATGGTGTGTGTGTGTGTGTGTGTGTGTGTGTGTGTGTGTGTGTGTGTGTGTGAGCCTGGCAGGTATGGGAGGGCAAGGGAGCGCAGATGGTCTGGAGTGCATTGCTAACAGCGCACCCTCGCTGACCGCAGGAAACAACTTCAAGGAGGAATCTGCTGCACTTTTATGCCAAGCCCTGTCGGTAAGGAGCATGTGAGGATGTCCCTTGGGAATTCTGGGTGACCTGGGGGGACACTGGACAAAGCCACTTGCTTGGTTTGGGAAACTAATGTATGTTTGTTCCCTGCAAAAGCTTCAGCAAATCGTAGGACTTTCGGGTAGGAATAATTCTCCAAGAAACCATTGGTAGTTAAGGCTTTTTTTTTTAATCTCCATTCTTAGCCCAAAGCATATCTTTATTTTTATTTTGTGTATTTTATTTATTTATTTTTCTAATGGAGCTCTTTTTTTTTTAATTTTCTTATGCATAGTGTTCTGCCTGCATGTATGCTTGAGGGCCAGAAGAGGGCACTATATCTCATTACGAATCATAGTGAGCCACCATGTGGTTGCTGGGAATTGAACTCAGGACCTCTGGAAGAGCAGCCAGTGCTTTTAACCGCTGAGCCATCTCTCCAGCCTGATAGTTAAGTTTTTTTTTTTTTTTTTTTAGTTTTATAGGAAATCCTTTGCTTAATAACACTAGCCTACCTAGTTTCAGGTACCTAGGAGCCCCCATCCTTCTGCCTTAAGGTTGACTGAAAGAGATGCCATCAAAGAAATCCCAGAACTCAGGAGGCTGAGGGAGAAGGATGGAGAGTTCAAGGCCAGCCTGTACTAGCTATGCAATAATATCCTGTCTCACGATAACTAAGTGGAAGACAACTAACCTCTCTACGATTTGTCCCTTTAGTCCAATTACAGAATTAGGTCACTGAACCTCAGCCACAACCAATTCTCTGACGTAGCAGGGGAGCATCTGGGACAGATGCTAGGTATGTCCCCATGGAGGGAAGGGTTGGGGAGGAGACCACTTCCAGCTCTCCCTATATGCATATGGGTGTTTTGCCTGAATGTATATACACGTACCGTGAGTGTGTCCGATGCCTGTGGAGGCCAGATGGGGCATTAGCACTGGACTGCCCGGAACTGGAGTTACAGACAGTTGTGAACCACCATATGGGCACTGGGAATTGAATCCAAGCCCTCTGCAAGAGCATCCAGTCCTCTTAACCTCTAAGCCATCTCTCCATCCCCATTCCCTTTCTTATTAACTTAGCCATGACTGTTTCCTTTGTGGGGTTTGTTTTGTTGGTTCCTCTTTTGATTTTTTTTTTTTTTTTTTTTTTTTTTTAAACAGAATCTCACTGTTAGTGAATCCCAGACTGGCCTTGAACTTGAGGTCCTTCTGCTTCTGCCTCCCAAGTGTTTGGATCATAGGTGTGTGTCCTGAGTGTTCCCATTACAAAAGTAGTGGAAATCATGCTCGGAATAATAGAGCACAGCCAACATCTGGGTGTGAGAGGCAAAACTTGCCGCTGAGAGTAAGATGGTGTCGAGAAGCAGCTTGCACGAGGACTGGAGAGACGGCTCAGCAGCTCAGGCTGCTCGCTGCTCTCGCAGAGGACCAGAGTTCTGTTCCCAGCACCTTGGGCAGACACACATACACACACACACACACACACACACACACACACACACACACACGGCATACACTCACACACATACACACACATACACATGGATAAAAACAGAATGAAGCCCAGGCCAGCCAGGGCTACATAGTGAGCTTCTGTCTTTAAATTTTTTTAAGGGAGAGAGAGAGGTCTCTGGAGAGATGGCTCAGTGGTTAAGAGCACTGACTGCTCTTCCAGAGGACCCAAGTTCAGGTCCTGCCAGAACCTACATGGCAGGTATAACTGTCTGTAATTTCAGTTCCAGGGGACCTGACATCCACAGCAAAACATTAATGCCAAAGGACCCAGGTTCAATTCCCAGCACCCCCATGACAGGTCACAACTGTCTGTAATTTCAGTTCCAGGGGACCTGACACCCGTGGCAAAACATCAATGCACATAAGATTTTCAAAACGTTTTTTAAATTAAAAAAGTTGTCGCCCGAGTGTCGCAGCTTGCATACCCCTCTCCAGTACTGTGGGTCTGTGGCTGGGTCTCTGCCGACACGAGTCTCTGCCCCCCCCCGCCCCCCCCCCAGCCCTCAATGTAGGGCTCCAGTCGCTGAACCTAAGCTGGAATCACTTCCACATTCGGGCGGCTGTGGCCCTGTGTAACGGTCTCCGGGTAAGTCACACTCTGAGAGGTGAGTTGAACTGCTTCCCCGTGGTCACCGTGGACGTGGGTGTTCAGAGCTCTCACCAAGTGTCTTTGAAGCTGCTGGGTTTCCTTCCGTGACTCCCGGTGTGCGCTTCTGTTGTATAAATCCTCTCTCCTGAGGCCTGAGCACCATCATTAGGGGTGTTTTCAGAGGGAGGTTTAGCTTGAGGGCATAGAGAATCTCAAAAGGGGTGAATCTCTCAAGAGGTCTTAAGAATGAACCCCATCTGGAGGCAGCAGAATAATTGTGTAGATCTGTCTCTACAGAAAACCACTGAGCTGGGGGCGGGGGGGGGGAGGGGCAATGGCGTTAGGATGGAATGGGATGGGTTAAGAGTCGCAGGGGGTGAAGGAATGTGTCAGGGGTGAAGATAAGGGTTGGGGTTTAGATAAGCGTGAGGGTGAGAATTGGGGCTGGGCTGGCAGTCAAGACATTTTCCTGGGTAAGCCTCACTCCACCCTGATGCTGGTGCTGTTCCCCTCCCCTGGAGTCTAACGTGACCCTGAAGAAACTGGACGTGTCCATGAATGGCTTTGGGAATGAAGGCGCTCTGGCCCTGGGGGATGTCCTCAGACTCAACAGCTGTCTGGTCTACATCGACATCAGCAGCAATGGCATCACCAATGAGGGAGCCTCCAGAATCAGCAAGGGACTAGAAGTCAACGAGAGCCTCCAAGTGCTGAAGGTAGACTCGCTGAGCTGGCGTCTTCATAGGCACCTCTGTGGCTGGATGCAGTGCACGTCTGCCTATGTGTCCGTGAATGTGTGTGTGTGTGCGCATGTGTATGTATGTGATTCATCCGTAGGAAAGCAGGGTGGTAGAACTAGACAGATAACACTGGGGACGATCATCAGCCCCTGCCCTGTACGTCCACGTCCACGTTTGGTGCCCTTGCTATAGACCCAGGGCTGCCTCGGCTCTCTGGTGACATGTGTGCTTCTATACAAGTCTTCCCTCATGCCATCTGGGTCTCTCTCGGGATTGTCTTCAGACTAAGGCCATATTATGCTTTGGGGATACTAAACCCAGTGGTTGCTTGCATTCCAGTCTGGTCCTCTGATCCCATGAGTCTCTGCAGCCTCAGCTCACCCCTGCTCTCCGTGGCTCTCCCTGCAGCCTCAGCTCACCCCTGCTCTCCGTGGCTCTCCCTGCAGCCTCAGCTCACCCCTGCTCTCCGTGGCTCTCCCTGCAGCCTCAGCTCACCCCTGCTCTCCGTGGCTCTCCCTGCAGCCTCAGCTCACCCCTGCTCTCCGTGGCTCTCCCTGCAGCCTCAGCTCACCCCTGCTCTCCGTGGCTCTCCCTGGCTCGTCCTCTCGTTAGTAGCACTGCCCATGCCCACACCTGCTTTCACGTCTGCTCTGCTGCAGAGCGTGGCACACAAAGGTCTATGTCAGCCTGCGTCCTCCTGAGTTAGGGGGCTGCGGCCAGCACTCTGCTCTCCCCTCCCTGCAGAACTTTATTCTATGGTTCTTAACTATACTCTCATGTGAATGTGAAATCTCCCTAAGGACAAGAATGTTATTTTTGGCCCTGATCATACCCCTCACACCGCATGGTGCTGGACACACCGTGACTCTGTAGAAGTAAATGGATAGATGGATTAATATTACTTGTGAATTAGTTTACCTGTGGAAACTAATTATGACACAGGCCATTGGATAGTTTGGAAGCAGATGCAAGAGGACATTTGTTCCAAGGTCTTCTCTCTGGGCTCTTTCAAGTCACACCCTGAATATGATGATGCAGTAATTCATCAGCCATTGCCCAGGGTGAGCCGGTATCTCTGCCAGCTCCACTCTCCAGATGGGAAAACAGAGGCCAAGTGACACTCATTCCGCCCACATAACTATAAAGAGGGTGGCCACTTGTAGCTGGCTTTCTATGGCCATTCTAACTCCCTGCAAGAGCCTGGGAAATTGGCACACAGTAAATGCTCAATAAAACCCCTGGCCTCCCTCCTAATGTGGCGACCTGAAGTGGCCTTTCATTGCAACAGCCACCATTCAAACACTGTGCTGTTCACTGGGCACCTTTTGGATGCTTTGATTGGATTATTAGGTTGGGACCCTTGGGACAGCTCGTCCATGGAGCCAGGTACAAAGAAGACAGGAAGTGAAACCCAAGGCCAGCTGCCTACATGTTCCCTCTTGCTAATCTCCATCCATGCTTCAGTGGCTCTCAACACCCTTGCAATAATAATCCAACAAGGTCCACCATGCCATGGCCTTTCCTGCCTTCATTGCCTCCTCCTCTCTGTTCCTGCTCACAGAACATGTGCTATTGCCCAGCACCACAGCGTCCAGCTCACCTCCACCCTTGCCTGCTCTTCCTTCATGAATCTTTTTCCACTCTGCTCCTGCTCCCCCCTTCAGATATGACTAATCCCCCATTTCCCAGCAAGGCTTTACTCAAGGGTCTCCTACCCAAAATGGACTTTGCTCCTACAGTATGTCCCTCCGTCACTGCTGCCATCATATATCTAATACCATTTACTTAACTGTCTCCTCCAACTAGAGTAATGTTATCTGAAGACAGAGCCCTTGTCAAGTTGACCTGGGCTTAGAAGGCCTTGATAAATATTTGTTGGAGGATGGATGTGTTGGATGGATGAAGGATGAAATGGATTGATGGATAGGTTTTTGGATGGATGGGTAGTAAGGTAAGATGGATGGATGGATGGATGGATGGATGGATGGATGGATGGATGAATGGGTGAGTAGATGGATGGATGAGTGGATTGGTGGATGATGGATGGATGGATGGATGGATGGATGAATGAGTGGATGGGTGGATGGATGGATGGACAGATGGATGATAAGAGAAAGTGATGAGTGTGTAAGTAGATGAATGGATAGATAGATAGATAGATAGATAGATAGATAGATAGATAGATAGATTAATTAGTGGATGTGTAAGTAGATGGAGGGAAGGTAAGGCGAATTGATGAGCAGATGGATGGTTGGGTGATAGATAAACAAAGGGATGGACTTATAGATTATGGGTGGATAGAATAAATGAACAGATAAATGAGTGCTCAGTAGTGGGTGGAAAGATGAAAGGACGCATGGTTGGACAGACAGACAGGAATAGATGAAGAAGTCTAAGAGGAGCACAGAGGTTGCGATTCAGCGGGGAAGGTGAAGTTAGTCTAACACAGCCTCCTCCTGCTGCGCCCTCCTCCCACAGCTTTTCCTGAACCCTATGAGTATGGAGGGGGCAGTTTATCTCATCATGTCCATCAAGAGGAACCCCAAATCCAGGATGGAAGAGCTTGACATTTCCGTAAGCGCTCAAATACCACTCATTCGCTCCTGGCACAAGCCAGCTACCTCTACTAATAGTGTCACCAGCTGTGTCCCTCACAGACCCTCACACACAAGAATTAAGGGGCTCGATTAACGGGGAGTAGCCCTTCAGTAAATCTCACCACAGTGTAAAGGAATGTATTTGATCCTGGGAACCTAGAATGTGAGCACCGAAGAGTACTAATGAGGAAAAACCAAAAGGGCTGGGGCGTGGAGAACTCCAGAACAAAATTTGTACACTACCAAATTCGGTAATAAATGGATCACGTCTCTGAATGTTCCAGAATCCTGGGATTTTTTTTTCAGCCCTTGCTAGTCTGAAACTTGCTATTATATAGACCAGGCTGGCCTCAAATTCACAGAAACCTGTCTGTCTCTGCCTCCCAGAGTGCCGGGATTAAAGGTGTGCACCACATACCCAGGGTTTTTAGGACCCACCTCACAAATGTGTGTTTATTTCACGTGTGGCTTTCTGTGCTCAGAGCTGCAAGGTGATCCTTCTGTGAAGGAGGAAGGGAAGTCACCAGCTTCATCAGGGACTTGCCCAAACTACTGCAGGGAGGGCAGTGGGTCCTAACAAACCACCACAGGATGGCAGCGAGTACTAACAAACCATCTCAGGGATGGCAGCGGGTACTAACAAACCACCGCAGAGAGGGCAATGGGTACTGACATCCTACAATTTTGACCACCGGTGCTTTTGACCCCAAAGCAGTTTTAGGGTGCTAGCTCCTCAAATGCTACCCTAGAAGGTTGGTAGAGCACTGTGTTCATTGCCAGGGCAGTTGTACCAAATACCACAAACCAGGTGGCTTAAATAGCAAAAATGTGTTGCCTTTTAGTTCTGGAGTCCAGAAATGCAAGAAGTAGGTATGGAGTGGCTAGGTTCCTTCTCTACCCCCGGCTTCTCCCAGCATCTGCTGTTGCTGGCAGTCATCCACACCCTTGGCTTGCAGACTTACCACCCCAGTCCTTGCCTTCAGCTTCTCGTGGCTTTTTCCTTAAGTGCACGTCCATCTCTAAGCAAACCCCCCCCCTTTTGTAAGGATTTTATTATTTTATCAGGGCCCACCCTACTGACTTCGTTTTAACTTGATTATCTCTTGCAAAGACCCTATTTCCAAATGAGATCGCATCTACAGGGTTAAGGCTTCAAACCCACTTGGTGTAGTGGTATGTGCCTTTAATCTCAGGACTTTGGAGGCAGAGGCTGATGGATCTCTATGAGTTCAAGGCCAGCCTGGTCTACAGAGTGAGTGCCAGGACAGCCAAGGCTACACAGTGAGACCCTGTCTCCAAAACCAAAACAAAACAGAAAAGACTTAAAGCGCCCCGGGAGGGTATGTTCAAGTTTTATTTCTGTTGATGTGGTATACTGCCCTGACCTGAACTAAAAAAAAAAAAAAAAAAAAAAAAAAAGCCAATGAGGAAAGAGAAGCTTATTTCAGGCTATAGTCCATCATAGTAGGCAAGTTCACAGCCGCAGGAGCTTGCAGCCGGTCACAACCAGTCAGGAGCAGAGAGAAACGACTGCATGCATGCTTGCAGGCTTAGTGCTTGGCTAACCCTCTCTACTCTTACATAGCCCAGGTCCCCAGTCCAGGGAATGGTCTGGGTCTTCCCACATCAGTTAATTGGAATCGAGACCATCTGACACAGACACGTCTACAAGCCAACCTGAGCTAGCAGGTCTCCTGCAGGTCCCCTTCCCCAGTGATTCTCAGGTTGTGGCTAATTGATATTTAAAACTAACCATCATGATGCCGGGCCGGGAGGCAGAGACAGGTGATCTCTATGAGTTCAAGGTCAGCCTAGTCTACAAAGCGAGTTCCAGGACAGGCTCTAAAGCTACACGGAGAAACCCTATCTCGAAAAACCAAACAACCAACCATCATGAAGGTAGGGTGCAAACTCAGTTCATAGCGCATACCTTCCCTGTTTCCCACTTTACCCACGAGGAATCTAAAACAGAGTCATTAGGTAATTTGCCTAATCAGCAAATGAGAAACACCTAGGAGTCAGCCAGGGCCCCGCCTCCTTCTCTAGGCCTGTGAAGGTTAGTGCTATATAAGAGTCCCTTTCTTCCCCTATTCTTCCCAACAGTGTTTTGTAAGATTCCCCAAATGCTTGCCACTATCTGAGCCATGATAGTTGGAATATCCGAAGCTGAACGCTTCTCCACCTGAAGCCGCTGATGCTCTTCTTTCTCTTTGCTCCGCCACCCACCCCTCCCTGCTCCTCTTGCTCCTCAGTCCTTCTCCTCAGAGGCCCCACCTCTCCGCACTCACACTATAGCCTCCACTGTGCCAGGATGCAAAACCCCTCAGCCCCAACCCACTCAGCCATATTCAGGTTTCGTAGCCACGGCTCAACTGCCAGTAAACGAGCCTGCCAGAACCAAGAGACTGTTATCCCGTTAGTCTTTTTCTGGAACTCTGATGAAATGATTGAAGCCAAGATGCTATAAAGGATTACTATTTACTTCACATCCCTGGAGGCCGAATGACCCAGTAGCATGGCTCCAGCTCTGGTGATGGCCCTCTTGATCACCTTACCTCACAGCAGATGGCATCATCGTGGTCTTGCATAGGGGACAGAAAGGATGCTACATGGAGAGACAGTCTCATTTCCTTCTTGAACTAGCAGGTCCCCTGAGCATGACATCTATTCCTGGGAGGGCGGTGTCCCCAGTGACCCAGTCTCCTCCCACTAGGCTCCACCTCTGAAAGATTCCATCACTACTCACACTGCCACCCTGGGGACCAGATGGCGCCAAGACTCTAAATGTACTGGAATTCCTGCTCTGTAGATGCTCCTAGGACCAGAGTATCTGCAAAGCCTTCAGCCCTTAAGTGTGAGTTTGAAAAGGCAAACAGGGGCTGGAGAGATGGCTTAGAGGTTAAGAGCACTGACTTCTCTTTCAGAGGACCCGGGTTCAATTCCCAGCACCCATATGACAGCTCATCTCTGTGATTCCAATTCCAGGTGATCCAACCCCCCTCACACAGACATACATGGAGGTGAAACACCAATTCATATAAAATAAAAATAAATTATAAAAAAAGAACAGGCGAAAGATACTCAGAACCACACTTGAAGAAAGATGAGGGTCGTCTAGCTGATGGAGAGCAGACTAGATCGCTCTTCCAAAGCACACACTCTCCATGTCCTGGAAGCCGATTCTGACTTCTTCCAAAAGAGGAGTTTGTAGCTTGCTGTGAGCCACAGCAGGATGGTTGGCACCAGGGATCCTGGGTACCTGCTCTGAAGAACAACACACAAGGACATGGACAGGTCAGGATATCTGTGCATAGACCAGTCTCTGACCTCTGTTCATCAAATGTAGCCACTTCAAGAACCACCTCAGAGAAGAGCTGAGTGGCAAACATATGACAAACAAGCCACACGGACACAAAGAAAGTGTCTAATCAAAATCTCCTAGATGTGGGCAGATTAACACATACCTATAATCCCAGGGCTCAGAAGACTAAGGCAGAAGGATCGCCATGAGTTCAAAGCCAGCCCGTGCTCCTTAGTAAGGCCAATCCAGGCTTCAGAGTAAGACTATAAATTTACAAATCAAATCACAAGCTCCATAACACCAGAGCAGCCCTGAGGATGTAGCTAAGTTTGGTAGACTACTTGCCTAGCATGCTCAAAGTCTGGGATTCCTTGCCTAGCACCCCATAATGACACACCCCATAATCCCCCATAATCACGTGATTGTAATCCCAGCATTTGGGAGATAGAGACAGGCCAGCTTGGGTGACATCCAAGGCTATATCAGATTACAGAATGAGTGAGACTCTGCCTCAAAAAGGAACCCAGGACCCAAGTTAGTCACAAGCTAGAAAACACCAGAACCCGTCCAGTTCAGAAGAACAAACCGGAAAGGACCAGCACCCCTAAACTTGGCTTGGGTGGGAGGGAAGGGTACTCCGGGCAACAGACACATGGTACAATGACAGTATCTCTACCACGGCCCCTCTCTCCCTACTGCAGAACATTCTGGTAACAGAGCAATTTGTAAAAGTCCTGGATGGGGTCTGTGCCATTCACCCCCAGCTGGATGTGTTATACAAGGGATTGCAGGGTCTCTCCAGCAAGAAAACCGCCTCTCTGTGGACCAACCCCATGAAACTGATCCAGGTGAGCCCCTTAGAGCCTTGGGTCCCAAATCACCCACCCAGTACTGACTCTGTCTGAGTGCCCATAGGTCCTTTCTAATAAGGCTCCTTGCTATGGAGGCCTGGAGCATTGCCCTAGGTTATTGGGTCACTGGATACTGTGCCTCACCCCAAAAGAAGAGAAGAGCTGAGATATGGTGGAGGGGGGAGGTGGAGAGGGGATGGAGGCACAAGACAGAGTCTACTACCTGGGACCTGCCTTTTACTAATGTGTCACCAAAGGCAAGTCATTGAAGTCTTACGTGCCTCAGTCTTTCCACCTGTAAAATGGGAAGAGATGAAAAGGGTGCTTGTGAAGGATGAATTCCTCAGCAGTTATGAGGTGATCAGAGTTACGCCCGGACATAGTAAGCGCCCAGAGCTTGCAGCTTCTTTCTGAGACTGGATCGCAGCTTCTGGCCTCTGGCCTCTGGTTGTTACGCTCCGCTCCTCACTTTTCAAAACCAAATCTAAAAAGGTCTTACATGAAAATTATGTGCAAAGTTCAAGAAGGCAAAAGGTATTGGGTTTGTTTAGGAAGAAGTGACTCCAATGGAACCAGGGGGAGGTTTTACAAGGATAGCCGGATGCAGAGCGAGGGTCCCCGCCCCTTGTTTTAAAAGAATATAGAAATGGGCCAGGCAGTGGTGGCGCATACCTTTAATCCCAGTGCTCAGGAGGCAGAGGCGGGTGAATTTCTGAGTTTGAGGTCAGTCTTGTCTACAGAATGTAGTTCTGGGACAGCCAGGGCTCTACAGAGAAACTCTAATAGCTGTAGACTCTGAGCCAGATGCCACTGGATCTCCAGTGGTGTGCAGACTTACAATCACAGTACACAGAATACCTGCCTGGGCTACAGACAGAGCAGGTTCAAGGCCAGCCTGGGCAACTTAACAAGACCTTGTCTCAAAATTCTAAGTAAAAAGAAGGCTAGCTAAGTATATAGGTCAGGGCTAGTGCCTTTGTTTAATGTACGTGAAGTTCCAGGTTCAACCACAGCACCATAAAGAAAAAAGAGAGAGTAGGAAAAAAAATCTTCAGGTACAGACCAAACAAGACATCTGTGTACACTATAGTTGGGAAGAGGTGACCGTGTGTTTAGAAAGATGGGGTGGATTCAGTAATGACCAAAAAAAAAAAAAAAATGTCACAGAAGAAATATTACAAAGCTCCATCAGAATGTGAAGTCAGGACATCCCAGGATGAGGCAAAGAGAAAAGAAGGACCTCCCGGCAGAAGTGGGGCTGGGGAAGGTCCTGGATGAAGGGGAAGAATTGGAATGATACAGAGCCTGGAAGATGGTTCTAGCAAGAGGGTTTCTGCCAGCAGAGCAGGGAGGGTTTGCACACTGACAGTGCAGGCAACCTTCAGGGGCACTGGAGACAGAACCAAGTCAGTCCAATTGAGGAAGCCTGGGACGCCAGACTCCAAAAGAAGCTGGAAAGCCCAAACTGGGCTAGAAGTGGTTGGACTCCTCAGACTGCAGACCTTGAGTTGGGGTTGGATTCCATTCGGCATAGGGAGCCATGAGAACTGTGGAGCCCTGGAAGCGGCATGAGAGATGCTACCTTTAAGGTGCCTGGCAAGGCTGTTCCCCGTGTGTCTGCTGTAGGGAAACTGCGAGAAGCCTAGGTGTGCCCAGAGCCTGTCCAACCAATCACGCAGCAGCTGAAGGAAACTCCCACCCACCAGCCACAAAGCACCAACTGTGCCAGTGTTAATAGAGGCCATTTCCAAAGCCAAATTCTGGACTTAGATCTGGTCACCGTCTGTGCCTCTGTGATACTAGGGGCCGCTTAGCCGCTTTGGTGTCCCTCTGTGAAGTCAGGGAGTAGATGGGGCCTCTTTTAGGTTGGGGTGAGGCTGCCAGGAACTAGACAAACACGGGCGCTATCACGTCTCTGCCTGCACTCGGTGCGTGCTCTAAAGCCGTGTTTAAACTACAGATGCCTCAAGCTGGAGCTGCCTTCCCCCACTCCCCAAGCATTTCTGGGTCCAAGCGTGTGGCCCACCCTTTGGGGGCTGAGGGGGGAGGTGTGGTAGCCGTAATAAAGGCAAGTGCTTGCTCCTGGCACCTCCTGCTCCTCTCAGAACTACACAGAACAACAGAAGATCTCAACTGTGGAGTTCTTCAAGAGCTTGAATCCAGCGGGATCAATGATAATGCCTGTGGGGGACTTTCGGAAAGCCATGATACAGGTGTGCTGATTCCCGGAGACTCTGGGTAATGGGGGTGGGGGAGTGGAGCGGAGCGGCAAGCACATGCTCGCATTTCACACTGCCCTGTAAGCTTGGTTGAGGGCATTGCTGTCATTCACCTAGACTTAGAGGGAAATGCAACAGCTCCTTCAACCCTCCACCCACATCTCGTGTCCCGTGGCCTGATGCCACTCCTCACCCCAGAGGCATGCGTCCATCTCAGGGGCCCCCGACCCCCCCCCCGTCGTGCTGTGTTTGGCTCCCAGGAAGATGAAAAGTGAGAGTGGAGGACCATTTCCCTGTAGCTCCCACACTCTGCTTTCCAACCTTCCCAGCTTACCTGAGCCCCCGCGGTCCCTCTTAGCAATATAGTGATTAGAAACGAGGTCCCCTGAAATGTATGCACGAAGGGATCAATTGTGACAGCATTCTGGGGAGGCCTTGGGAGAAGGGTCTAGGGACCCGGGCAGGGATGAGTGCTTAGGACCCAGACCCATGGAGCAAGAGAGTTGGCCAGGGTTAGGTATCCGGGAGCAAGAATGACCTTCACGTGTTGGAGAGTACAGCTTCTGCCCCCCTCAGCAAGCCACTCATTGCTCCCGGATCCTGGGCCTTGACCCTTTCCAGAAGCAGGGGGGTCATTCTGGAGGCAAGGCCATGCCATGGAAAGCAGCTGCCTCCAGTACCTCCCTGTGGTAGGTGCAGCCACCTCTGAGTCCTCAAATGCTACCACTGGTCCCAAGAGTGAGACATTGGGGGGGAGGGGTCACTGGGTGTGAAGGAACAGAGGGATCCATAACGCATTACCCCCACCTTCCCAGCAAAACAAGGTCCCCATCAACCGGTACCAGGTCAGGGAGCTCCTAAAGAAACTGGATGAGAAGAACGGTATGGTGGACTTCAGGTGAGCATGGCCTCCCCCCACCCGGCTTGCCACAGGGCCCTAGTGGGAGGGGCATCAGCCCGGGGATCCAGCCATCTGTGTTCTGTGAGATAGCGGACACTGCTCACAGTGGACCAGAGGCCCCGCCCCAGATCCCACGACTGGGCCCCAAAGTCCTCCTTCCTTCCCTTTCTCAGCTGCCTTATGTAGCAAGACTCGAACAAGACACTGGGACCTGTGCCTGAGGAACGCCAGCCCACGTGACAAAGGGACAAGGTTCAGGCCTCCAAGGTGAGGACAGGAGAGACTGGGGAGGGGAGTATGCCGAAGACCAAGGGAGGCATCACTGGGGCAGTGCTTCAGCTAGGTCCGGCAAGATGCATAGACGCATGCCACGTTTCTGTTGCAGAGGTCCAGGACATCTTGCGTGGAAGTTCGCCACTTCCACGACATAGGTTCTGGGGAGCAAATTCGGGTTGTCGGGCTTCTGGCAAGGGCCATTAACTGCTGAGCCATCTCTCTGGCCATTTGTTGTGCGCACGCGCGCATGTGTGTGCGTGCATACAGGGGCCAGAAGCTTGGCATCTTCATTGACTGTGCTCCCCTTTAATTTTTGAAACAGTGTCTCTCACTGAACAAGGAGCTCTCCGATTGGCTAGATGAACCGGCCAGTGAGCTTCCTAGCCCAGCTTTAGCACTAGGATGCCATCACACAGGCTTTCGTGTGGGCACTAGGGATCTGAACTCAGGTCCTCATGCTTGCGTGCCAGGAACCCTATCATCTCCCCAGCCTACCGTTCCCCCTGTTTCCTTTCCTTTCAAACCAGCTTCTTAAAGGCTGGAAATCACAACAGCCGGTCAGGTCTGGGGAGACGCCCCAACAGAGAAGTCCTGGCAAGTTGTGGAGGCTGTGAGGAGATTCAACCCATGGATGCCATGACTAGAGCTAAATGCCATAAATAGAATCTCTCTCTGTGCTGCTGATGTTGGTCCTGGGTCTCTCCCCCCCCCCCCCGTGTGTGTGTGTGTGTGTGTGTGTGTGTGTGTGTGTGTGCTGATGTTGGTCCTGGGTTGGGCATCTCTCTCTGTGCTGCTGATGTTGGTTCTGGGCATCTCTCTCTGTGCTGCTGATGTTGGTCCTGGGCATCTCTCTCTGTGCTGCTGATGTTGGTCCTGGGCATCTCTCTCTGTGCTGCTGATGTTGGTTCTGGGCATCTCTCTCTGTGCTGCTGCTGATGTTGGTCCTGGGCATCTCTCTCTGTGCTGCTGATGTTGGTCCCGGGCATCTCTCTCTGTGCTGCTGATGTTGGTCCTGGGTTGGGTATCTCTCTGTGTGCTGCTGATGTTGGTCCTGGGCATCTCTCTCTGTGCTGCTGATGTTGGTCCCATTTCTTTCTGTTCTTTGTATAAAATTGAAAAGGGAGCAATGATCACTATGCATTTGATATTCTTTCAGGCTGATTTCTAGGAATGATGGAGATTCTAGACAGCTAAAATCTACCCCTATGACCAGTTCCAGCCCTCTAGGTCACCCCTTGCCCCTGACACTCCACTTTAAGTAAGTGAGAGGCAGGTGGTCAAACCCAAACCTTCCCCCCAGTATCCCAAGAAGCCTCCCCCCAAAACCGGATTGTTTTTTGCAACTCCCAAAGATGGCGTCATTCCCATTTGTAGCCACTAGGTGTCAGGTTAGCCTCAAAAGTCCTCATTAGAGACGTTCCCTTTACTTGGAGTCTTCCAGAAACTTCTTTCAACATCTTGAACGTCTGCCCCTGGAACCCACCCCGATCAGCCCCAGGGACCCAGGAGTCCATACCCGCGCCGACCCCTCCAAGGCTCCGTGTCCTCACAGTCGATCGGGGTTACTAAGAACTACCGTGCACGTCTGTAATCAGGAAGAAAAGTTAGCCCCCTATCTAGCCAGCCGGCTAAGTAGCAGGAAACACCGCTCAGCAGAAGCACCAGCAAGCCCAGCCCGACAAGAAAACCGGCGGGATCACGGAGGTGGGGAGGGGCTGCGGCAACTCTTTCTCTACTGGTAAACCATAGGCTTAAGCGGGAGGACCCCTGCAGGAATAGCAGAGGCCATCAAGGAGAGAGATAAACCTAGAGACTGCTGCACCCTAGCACAGGGCAGTCTGGGTTTATCCCTCGTTCTATACTCCAACTGGGCTTTGAGAACAAGCTCTGTGTCCTCCCGGGACTGTAGAACGAGCACCGTTCAATTCATTTCCCAGTTAGGAGGAGTTCAGCATCCTGTCCACGATCTCCCTGGTAGCAAAGAACAACGCTGAGATTTCAGGACCCTGCAATGTGTCTTAACCCTAACCCTTCCCTGTCCCTCTGAAGCGGCCTCGCACCTTTTCACCACCAGGGGGCAGTTTAAGGCGGATCGCTCTGAAGACGTCGAAGTGGGAAATACATTGTGAGGGCTGGAACGGCTTGTAAGAGGAATCCCATTCTCTCCAGTAAAGTCCTGCCGATCCCCACCCCCGGCCTCCACTCCCACGGGGCTCTGCTATCCCACTGGGGGAACTAAAGTGGCAGGACACTAGGTGGATACCTCTGTGTGTTAGCGCCATAACGCGGTCAACCCATGTAAATCCTGGCATTTTACAATTCTGTTTGAAATCTACCTAGCTTAACCTTCGTGACCTTAAGCAGTGGGTTCCATGTTTCTGGCTTCAGTTTTCTTATCTGTAAACGGGGGTGATAATAGCACCCTTTCTTCTATAGAGTCCTGTGAAGAGCAAATGGAATAACGTATATAAAACCCTTTCTTGTTTACCCCTGTGTCTCAACCTTGTTACAGCGGTATTCCACTCCTGAGAGAGGGGAGTGGGAACTACAGGACCCAAAGGGCACAGGTGGGGCGCACTCAATACACCCCAGTACTGAATCTTAAAAACGCTCTGGAGGAGTTTCAACCTCGAGCCTTGGTTAAGACTGGCAAACAGGGCTGGAGAGATGGCTCAGAGGTTAAGAGCACTGGCTGTTCTTCCAGAGGTCCCAAGTTCAATTCCCAGCAACCACATGGTGGCTTACAACCATCTGCATTGAGGTCTGGCGCCCTCCTCTGGTGTGTGGGCATACATCGAGGCAGAATGTTGTATAATAAATAAATCTTAAAAAAAAAAAAAAAAAAAAAAGACTGGCAAACAGCCCAGGGTCTTAAGAATGACAGGGAAAGAGGAGGCGGGAATTCCAGGGACAGTGGGGCATCACAAGGCAAGCTCACCGACCAACAGAGCAGGATGCCAGCCCCACCCTCAGTCCTGGGGAAGGCACCGACTCCAGATTCAAAAGCTCCCATCCGGGGCTGGAGAGATGGCTCAGTGGTTAAGAGCATTGCCTGCTCTTCCAAAGGTCCTGAGTTCAATTCCCAGCAACCACATGGTGGCTCACAACCATCTGTAAAGAGGTCTGGTGCCCTCTTCTGGCTGCAGACATGCACACGGACAGAATATTGTATACATAATAAATAAATATAAAAAAAAAAGCTTCCATCCTAGAAGCAAGCACCATAACCCACTTGTTTGCTGGTTAAGAATGGGTGAGAGCGTGTACACATGCCACCACCTCCAATGTCAGCTTGGTGACAGCTACAGTGTCCTCAGGAAACCAAGCCTGCCCTGCCAAGTGGGGGCTCGGGATTTGTTTGGTTTTAAACAAAAGAAAACAATGGCTGGCAAAGCTAGCCTGTGTCCTAAGACCCTGGCTTCTGACCAGAAGCCTTGAACCAAAATAAAGGGAAGGCTCTCAGGAAGCCGGCATCGCATTCCAGGGGGAGAGGAAGGCTGGGCAGCTGTGGAAGCTGGCTCCCAGCCCAGCATGCCCCACGGGGAAGAATAGTGGCTTGATCCTCAGAGGGATCTCACCCGCCCTCCCCCTCCCGATGTCCCCACCTCTGGTCTCACACTGCGGCCCAGACTGGCCTCAAGCTTTCTGCAGTCCTCTTATCTTAGTTCCTGAGGGCTAGTCTCTTAGACTGGAGCCATCAGGCCTGGCAGGGAGATTTGTTTTTTAAAACTTTGTCTTACCATGGCTTTTGAGAGTGCTTGAGGATGGTAGGATAACAGGCTGCTCTGAGTTCAAGAGGCCTGGTACACAACAGTCCTACTTGTACGCATGTGTGCAGATACAGTTTTAAAAGAAACCCCTGGTCCCCAGCTTAAAAACAATAGGTTGGTCTTTTCTGTAGTTCTTAGGCAAGAGTGTCAAAACCCTTGGAATTTCCTGAGAAGAAATGTCTTTGTCGTGGTAATGGATGAATCAATCACACAACCCTCAGATGGCTTTGGGATGGGAGCTGATGTCAAAAAGACCAAGACTACAGCTGGGCCTTCCAATCCAGACTCAGAGGTCCCACTCCCAGGAGGGTGGCTGGCTTGGAGGTAGAGTTTAATCCTCTGGCCTCCTGTCAATCATGCCCACCTCATGAAACTCCAGAAAACCCTGGCTCCTGGTGGTGAACAGCACTGTGGAGGAGGTGGTGTGTCCAGACTCCACAAAGAGGGGTTCCCAAGCGTCAGCCCTCAGATCCTGCTCTAAGTTCCCCTTCATTTGGCTGTCCTGGAGTGCTGTCCTTTATGAGTCTGGTTTATTTTTAGTGTGTGTGTGTGCCCACGCACGCGTGTGCATGTTTCAGAATATGTGTGTGTCACATTGTGCGTGTAGAGGTCAGAGGACAGCCTCAAGTGTGGGTCGTCACCTTCCACGGTGTTGGGCATAGATTCTGTTTGCTGGTTTGGCTGAATACTTCTGGATATCAGCTCCCTGTGGGGTACGAGTCCAGACACAGACCACCCTATCTGGCTTTTACATGGGCTTCCGGGATCCAGATGCAGGTTTCCAGGCTTGAGTAGCATGCACATTTATCAAACAAGCCACCCACCCCAGCCTACAGCCTTTTTTAATGAAATTATAACCGTTGGTGCGGCACCTGCAGCGAGGGGGAAACAGGACCCTCGGGCTTTTACATGGCCATTCGGAAATGCAGACATCCTAGTGACCTCATTTGCAGTTGCTGTCTTAAGTAGTTGTCCTGCAGAGGATAGAGCCCTTAAACCCATAGAGTCTTGGTGCAGGAGGGTCGAGCGTGAGTAGGGTCGATGAGAATTGCGGCAGATCCATCGGAGTTAGCCCAAGTCAAACGAGAAATACGAGTGTACGCAAAAGCATGCTCATGTCTGAATCGGTTGTGTGTTCCATACTTAAACAGGCGCCTGTCAGAGTCAGAAGCCCAGCCCGCAAGAACTGGCCTCCTCCCTGAGAGTCCTGCTGAGACACCACCTCTCCGTGTTGTGTTCTACTTTGCCCAGCAGGCGGCGCTCTAACCTTACAAGTCCTCCATTTGGGCTAAGATTTACCCAGTTCTCTGAAACCTGGTAATGGGAAAAAGGGGAAAGAAAACAGAACCCCGCTGGCTCAAGAAAATCAGATTCCTATTGGCTATAAAGAAAAAAATGAAGAAGAGAGTGAGAGAGGGGCAGGGGAGGGATGGGAAGGAAGGAAGGAAGGAAGGGAGGGAGGGAGGGAGGGTGGGAGGGAGGGAGGGAAGGAAAAGAAAGCAGCCATGTCATTGGCGTCGACAGCAGCACACAGCATACTGACAACCTAGGTCAGAACCTCGACCCTCCTGGGGAGCATCTTCTTGACATGGATAGTTCAGGTCCTGTGGACGCCAAGCTTGGGCAACTCAGAGAGTCCCTTTTTTTAAAAAAAATGCAGACAATGTTAGGGGATGGATTCAATGTTTATTTAGAATTGGAGCCAGTGAGAAACTGCAAAAGCTGACAATGTGATGAACACCAAATCCTGGGGCCTCGCAAGGAGCTTCTTTGGGAGCCCCCAACGTGTCCCCGCTGTAGTGAGAGTCCCCGGTCCCAGCTGTTCCTTTTTGTTTCCCAGCAAGGAGTGCCGGCACTGTCTTTCCTGTCTGTGGAGGAGAG